ACCGCCGCCGCCGCGCGTGGCCACAACCCGTAGGGGAGGGCGACGGCTGGGAGCGGGGAGGGGCGGGGCCGAAGCCGGGAGCTCCACTGGGCGGAGACGGGCACCGCCTCCCAGAGGGCGGGCCCACGCGGTGGCTGCTGGGAACTGTAGTTTTGAAATGTGTACAACCTCTCCCTCTCCGTCTCCCTCTCTCCCCCTTCCTGTCCCCTCTCTCTAAAGGGAATGAACTAGGGAGGCAGTAATCATGATTGATGCTAGGGAGGCAGCAGGGGAAGGAGATCTAGGTAGCCAGATTGTTCTTATTGATATATGTAGAGCAAAAAACTCAATTGGTATGATTACAAGAGAAAGGATTCAAGGAGCAATATGAAAAACAGTCAGCTCTTAAACACACAGTCTGCTCGATAAAAAAGAACATCCTTTCAAAGGCATAACTAAGCTTTCAAGAAAGAAAGAGGAATACCTCTGATAGTCTTCCAAATTCCACACTAACCCAAAGAGGGAGCAAGAAACCAGAGTGGTAAACAGGTCAATGAAGCCATACTTGTACTGAGAGAAGCTACTTATTTCAGAAATCTGTGGTTATACTGGCTGCACAGGAGGCAAGAGACCAAACACAAGGCCTTGGGCCTGTAAAAGAGGTTGGGACTGTAATCCTGTACAAGGCTGGAAAACAAAAGGCTATACCCTCCAAGAACAGCCTGGAAAAAAAAAAATCACCTGTACCAGCCCAGGGAGACATGCAGATATTTGCATGTTTTAGCCTGGACTTGGCATCGAGGGGGAAAAAACTTTCCCTTTAGAATTCATGAACACACACTTTCCCTCATGTGGGTTTGAAAGTTCAAATTATAATACCTACACTGTCCAGGAAACCTCAAGTCAAGAAAATGTCCGAGGCTGGTGGTGCTGGGGGGCCTAGAAGGAACAAATACAAATCCTCATTGAACAGATTGACTCTCAGCCCAGGCCTGAAAGGATAGTCACTTCACCCTAAGTTCTTTATCTCCGTATCATGTCAATTAACATCAATCATCAAAATATAGATGAGTAGCACAAAATGAGTAGACTACCTGACTAGAATAATCCTTATACTCATTAAATTCTGAAATCACTAGAGCGGAAATATATCTTCCCAGTTCCTAAGCCAGGATGCACCACCCTCCAGGAGCTCTGGCTGAATAATCTAAGTTCCTGGTAGAATGGCTGAGATACACACACAACAATCTCTGCCCCACCTCCACCCTTAGTTGAGGTAACCTGTGTCTCTTTTATTTTCCAAAAAATGTTACACAATACTTTGAGAAAAATAAACCATAAAAGTGGAACAAATACTGGAATACAATGACCAGGAGAACAGTACCCATTTTCTTGGCTATAAACAAAAAAGACCATACACAGAATTATGAAACTTTAAAAAATTTAAAGTTTTTAAAAAATAAAATGCTTATTCACTTTTCAAGTATCCAAAGAAGATAATGTAAAGATTAAAAACCAGAAATGTTCTGTTATACCACTAGTAATGTCATCTGCAACATTTATGAGGCAAGAAAAGTCATATCAAAGTATCTTTAGTCATGTTCACATTTTTATTACACTTCTGAACACCTGTATAAATGAGAAAATGGCTGAATCATGTTCCAAGCCACAATCTCAAATATTAACTTGAAAACATTTAAATACTGATGAATCTTGGCTTTGATGTACAAAAGAAAATAAAGATCACACTCACACTCTCACACACACACACACACACACATCCCAAAGCTCTTCAGAGGTTAAACAGTACTGTATTCCTCCACCTAGTCTAGCCATATTCCAAAAGGTTGTTGATGTTACTGAATTTTACTGGCATATAATTCTATTTCAGTGCCACTATATTAATCCTATTGTGGAAAAAAAATGCCTGGAAAACGTGGAATTCTTTCTTATAAGAAAACAATAAACAGCTATGAAACAAGACTAGGCTCAAATTTTCATCATTTTAAAGATCTCTAATATTTATGCTTTATGGCACTGGGTTGCCTTTTCCAATATAAATGTTCTCAAACACACCTTAAAAAGAACTCTTATTACTAGGTCAAGCTGTACATGGCAAATTATAAAAGATTTATTCCCATAAAAACCCCAGAAACTTATAGGAAATTAAGCATGATAGTATGTATAAAGTATATCATATCCCATTATGCCATACAAAACAAACAACGTCAAACATACCCCAGTTTATTGGTTTCTGTTTTAAAACATGCTTATCCTTTTATTTTTTAATTAGCTTATGGCACTTACTTTATTTTCTAATTTTTTCCAAAGAAAAAGAGTCAATCAAGACCTTTTTTTTAAAAAAAAATCACCTGAAAATACAAAGAAAGTTTTGTAGCTGTACAACTTAATAAAATATACTCTTTAAAATGACAATCTGAATTGTGTTCCTGACAAATTCAGTATTAAATCAGAACTAAATCTTAGTACGTAATTTCATAAGCCCTTTGCCAATTCATATATTCAAAAGAAGTACTAAAAACTATAAAAGGAGAATGGAAATGCTTTAAGAAATAATCAATTTTCATAATTTCTTAGCTGTCCTACTTTAATGATTTTCTTTGAAATCCTGGATAAATTACTCTAATATTCTCGTTAAGATAAACAGTTAAATAAAGTCTGATTCATCCAAATTATTCTTATTCAAAAACAATTTTCTCAATTTTTAGCAATAATTCATCTCTACTAAAGTATTCACTTATAACCTAAATGAAGATAAAGTCACTTCTCACAAAATAAATATTAATTTAACAGAATTAAGTTTCCTCTATTGGCACTTGATGCTTGAGGGTTATCAAAGGTCTATACAACAGAGCACTGAATTTTGAAATTAGTTGAGAATGATCCAGAATTTCCTCTAGTAGACATAATATTAGCCATAAATGAAGACAAAAGACAAAAGTAATGACGTAATTCTAGAAGAACGCTTCTAGTCGCAAATGAATAGGTCTTACTTAGGTTTCTGGAACGCATTTAACTGCATAAAACTTAGAGGGAAAAATGGCCATATTTGAAAACAGCCACAAGGATCAGAGTACAACACAAGATGGTAATGAGCAGAGTCACAGAACATACTAAAGAGGTATGTATGGTCAGTCCCACTGGAACCTGTAGAGTCACATTCTTATAAACCTATGGAGAGAAATGGATAGAGAAGTTAGAGACATCTAAGATCAATGTTCTAAGGTGAGACCACTACTTCTTTGATTTTTAATTTAACTTTTTCTTCTAAATATCTTTCAGCCAATGCTACACTACCTGTAACATTACTGTTTGAATGATTCTTTTAGATTCAATATTTCAGTTAATGTAACAGAATCAGACTCAATTCCCACAATAATTCTTAAATTCTCATTACTTTTGACATTTTCTGCTTCTTACATAGAGTTGAGTATACTGTTAAAAAAAATTCTAACTATATTCTGTCACTTCTGTAATCAATAGAAACATTTATTTCCTCTTACTACGTTTCATATTAGAATACAGAATTCTCTATAAGTTGAAGCCCTAAAACAACAATAAAACTAAAGCATCCATTCATTCCTGTTCTGCTGTTTCTCTCCTCAGCTTTTTAAAAGTTTGTTATTCACAAATTACACAACTGAATGTGTCCTTTACTGTTATTACAACATCAATTAGTTGTGATACTGACTAGCAATGCAAAAGTTTTCCTATGTTCAATTTTCTTCCTATTTTCTATTCGGTTTTTAAGATAAAGGGTTTCAATAAGACTCAGAAACTTTGGGAAATTTAGAAACTTTGAGAAATTAGAAACTTTGGGAAATTTTATTGTTTAAAATAGATTTTTAAAAACATTAAAATTTAGGTAACTTGGTAATACTTTTATTTTTGGTTTCTTTTTATAAATGCATGGATTCTACTTTCACATCCCTCCCCCCACAAAAATGTTACCAACACAATCTGTAACAAAGTGCCATCTGAAATTATCTTTCAAATAATGGCATCTCAAACAAAATGAGCCTTAGTATATAGATTACCATCTTAGTAATGGTCACCTATTTTTCTGGTATGTATGTATGTGTATGTATGTATATATACATATACACACACAAGAAATGTAACAAAGAAAAAATCAAAGTACTTAATTATGACCTCTTATTTCAATTTATATGGTCTTAAAGAGAACTGAATTAAAATGTTTTAATATGGTGATTTATTTTGTAGCAACATATACCACCAATTTTTTAAACCAATAAATCATGAACAAACAATAATCACACTCTTCATTCACATAAGAAAATCAAATGCAATTCTCCAGATGTATTTCAGAGTTTGAAAAAAATTCAGGTACCCTATGGCAATGGAAATCTCAAAAGCAATTCTATGTTGCATAAAGTAATCATACATTTTTCCAACTATCAGTTCCAAGTAGGTTCTCCTCTACAAAATAGTAGTGCTTTGTAGTAAGCCTTTACCATCAGTAGTAGTTTTCTGAGCTAGCTGATAGACAGACTTCTAAGCAACTATAAGGAAAACAGTTCAAATCTAAATATTCACATTAGTACATATGAATAAATCTGCTTTATGTTTATCTGATAAACAGTTATGTTGTCTGCTACTTTTTAAATTTATTTTACTTTTGTTGCAAACTCATTTGACTCCTTGTAAAAATAAATTGTAAAAATGATGACAGATTGTGCCATTCAACCAAAGAAAGCTGGCCTTAAAGAGAATTAGGAACAAAGAGAAACTCAGATACTACAAGCATCACTTAAAAGGCAACTCTTAAAAGAGGAAAAAAGGACAGAAAAAAGATTGAAAGAAAAGAAATGTGTTGTACAAAGACTTACCACTCTGAAGAGAAGAAAGGTAGACCGTGTTAACTAAAGAAGGTAAGTAGAAAACTGTAGACTTCTCAGACAAAGCCAGTGTTAATGAAGTACTAACACTTATCTATTTAATAACTGAAAACAAGTTGGGAGGTACAAACTATACACATGTCCTGACATAGCCTAGATTTAGAATTATAATAAGAATACAACTGTCTAGAAATTTCATCACAGTTGAAATGATACAACTTTAGAGTTTTATTCCCCTTCTTTCACTTACTCTGTGTAATATAAGAAAACTAATTTGTTGTTTGAAAATGAATAAAAAGTTCTAAACAAAGTGAAGTTTTATTCAGTAAAATCAGTTTTTTTTAAAAAGTGTATCAGCTATACTTAAGCTCTGGATCAATGAAGCATGGGACTAACTCTAAATCTTCACCCCCCAAATTAAATGATTCTATGACTATATAAATGCGGAACCACTATTGCCATTAGTGACAGAGAAACAACATTAAAAGCAAACAAAAGACAGCTTCCTATGGTAGAATATAAAACTCTAATCCCTTAAATGTGGCAGGAACATTACAAAAAGAGGTTTTTTTGTATATATATATTTTTTATTGAAGTATAGTCAGTTTACAATGTGTCAGTTTCTGGTGTACAGCACAATGCCTGTCATACATGGACATACATATATTCATTTTCATATTCTTTTTCACCATAAGTTACTATAAGATATAGAACATAGTTCCCTGCACTATACAGCATGAACTTGTTATTTACCTATTCTATATATATCAGTTAGTATCTGCAAATCTCTAGCTCCCAATTTATCCCCTCTCCACGCTCCCCCAACCTATAACTACAAGTTTGTCCTCTATGAGAGACTGTTTCTGTTTTGCAAATAAGTTCATTTGTCTTTTGTTTCAGATTCCACATATAAGTGATATCATTAAAAAGAGTTTTAAATGAGGCTGCATGACCTAAAACAACATAAAATGTTAACTTACTGATTTATATTTCATATTGTTCCACTGGCAGATATCCTTACTGTTCAAAGCACAAGGAGCTGTCACTTCTGACTGAGCCCAGCATTTCAAAATTGGAAACTCTGAGAAAAAGTGGTAGAACATCATATCAGAAAAGCTATATCTGGACTAGAGTCTAGGCCATCTCTCATGTTGGGATATGAATATTCAAAACATTTTAATACACAATGTACATGATTTGGACCCATCTATCACATGCTGTTTTATTTTAACAGCTTGTTCCAAGTGGATGCTTAAGAAATTATAAAGTTATAAAAATCGTACAGAAGTTGAGCATGACTTCTTAACAAATTCCATGACTCCAGGGACCTTTTTTTTAAATTTAAACTTTTTTAAACTATAACATATACTCAGAAAACTGAACAGATCCTAACCCTATAACTCAGTAAGTTTCTATAGAGAAAACACACCCAAGTAAAGAACTCTCAGACCAAAAAACCAAACAATTCCAGAACCCCATTTGCTCTCTCAGGATGGGGCACTTTTCCAAACTTTATATCGGGTAAGTAAAAGCTACCACTAAAAGAAACAGAAAACTAGGTTAGATAAACAAACCCCACATGGTTGAATACTTTTTTATTTTCTCATCATAAAATATATGACAGTAGCAAATGTATAATTAAAAACTTCCTATCTGCCAGTCTTTAGTAACAGTGCTATTGACTTTTGTAAACATTTTAATTTCCCAAAATTTAGAGACAAAAAGATCCGAATCTGAAGGGGGCTTCTTAAAGTCTTGATTCTAGGAAGACTGAAAATGGTGAAAGCATAGTTTTTTTTAATATACTTAAATCCACACATAAAACAGAAAGAACAATTACACACAAAACCAAAAACTCATAGACAACTTTTACAACAAAACTAGGTGATAAAGTAACCCCTTAAACCCCAAAATACATGCAAGTGGAGATAAAACACTAATAGTTAAAATGCTATAATATCAATATGAAAAAACAGAAAGCAGCAAAGGGGCAATGAGGATCAATGGCTGAAAAAAAGAAATGCACCAGACATTATACGCCCACTCATAAAAGAACACAGCACCACCTATAGTCTTGCCAAAAGAATCAAACCTGAATCTGATCACACCTCTGGAACCAGTTACCAATTTCCAGGTAATAAAGAACTCAGATGAACTGCATGAGTGTAATTACCCAAACCCCAACAATGGCAAACTGCAGGTCAAATGACCCAAGTTCTTCAACAGATAATTTTTTTTAAAAGAGATAGAGGGGAAACCTGTAAATTAAGACACTTAATGGAAATAATTTTTTTAATGGGCAAGACTAAGCTATAGTGTCTAAGAATGCTCACTTTGGTGACAAAAGTATAAAGAAACATAAGGATGTGATTAAAAGTCAGCAGAGTGGGTTACTCTTAGAGGAAGGGAGGGGGCTATGATTTGGACAGGACACATAGGGCTGCTGCTAGGGTGGCTGGCAAAGTCCTGTTTCTTGACCTGGGTGGTAGTTACAAGGGTATTTGCCTTCTAATACTTCACTAGCCTATATATTTGTAAAGTTTTTCTATATCTGTGCTTTATTTTACAGAGTTAAAAAAAAAAAGAAATACGATTTTGTTAGTACTGTCCTTGACTTTCAGACTTACTACCATACCTTTATTTTTATTTTCAACCCTCCAAAAAGACTTGCAACCCTTACCTTGGTCACAATACATCAATAACTCAGGGTTATTGACCACAATAAAGGTTTCTCCATCTTGACTATGTGGCCGATGATAGCGATAGTGCACAGGCAAAAAAGCTTGGAAACAATCAATGCACTGTGAATCTTGTCTTGCATAAATGAGAACTTCAGATTCTTTGGACAAATAGTTGGGTGCCTCTATATTAAAATTTTCTGAAACCATCATTGCCTGTCAAAAGGAAAACAAACATTAATCCAAAAGAAGAAATGAATAAGGAACATTTAAAAAACAAAAATAAAACCAGAAGAACGCTATACAGATGAACAAAAATGTCAAACACACTCCCCTTATAAACAATTTCTATTGCCCTTCCATCCTCAGTTTTAAGTAGAAAACACAAGATGTGATCTGTGTTTAATAAAAGTTTACCAAAAGTAAACTAAGAAAATTACACACTGGAGTATGAAATTTCCCCATAATAAAGACTTCTCTGTAATTTCTTTTCAACCTTTGTTTAGGTAAAAAAACAGGTACCAAGAAAAGAAATTTTGTGAATAAATATAGCATTATTCAATAAGTATGAAAACTATGACAAAAACAGTTAACTCAGTATTAGGTTAAAATGATTGGTATCTTTCTGGTAATTTCCTGTTCTTCAGAGAAGCAAGTAAGACGGTAGTGAATAAGACAGAGCATTGTGGTCAGGAAGTCAAAGCAAAGGTCAGCTCTCTTTCTATACTGGGTATAAAAAGTTAATGGAAAAAATGGTAAATGATTCTTTTAAAAAATAATATGGTAAAAAAAACATTTTAAAGTAAGAATTCTACACCAAAAGTAAAAATGCACATGTGGCAGAAATCAGTCCTAAATTATAATGTGTGCATGTGTATACATAATATATCTATATAAATATGTACATACATACTTATCTATGAAACCAAATTTACACACGGATACACATACATATACACATGTATATCGACATATACATAATCTGTGTGTGCGTATGTGCGTGTGTGTATGGTGAGTATACATACACAAGTTTTCTCTAGATTCTCTATGCAAAGCCCTAAGGTATCTCAGAGAAAAAACCAGCATTAACTTCTACCCACCACAGCAAGCATCCTAATTCTCCTATTTGATAGTGACCAAGTGCTGTATTTTCACATATTCATTATAAGAGTAACAGAACTCATTGGCAAAGGTCAAGGAATTATATCATCTTATGAGTCATAAGGAACCTCAGAGGCGATCAAATTAAACCACTGTGCCATTGAGGGTATTTTTCAGGTATCCATCCACTGCTTTAATACTTTCTGTGACTGGGAAGGAGTTCATTACTTTGAGTCATCTCACTTTATGTACCGTTAAAATTATTCCTTTTTTATGAATAGAAACTTGATGCTCTGACCCATAACAATTCACCAATTGTCCTTGCTTACAATATCTGCGATAAATAATGTTCTTTATTTCACCATGCTGCCTCCACGAAGTTTTCTCCTCTTCAAAGAAATATTCACAGTTTTCCCAGTTTCTCATGACATGGTTTCCAAACCATTCACCATATCAGTTGCCTTTTGAAATACTCAGAAAATAGGAGCAATATTACCTTCTTTGGCAAAAATTGCATTCGCTTTTTAGCAGCCTCATTTCAGTGTGATACATATCTATCTATCTCTCTATCTATATGTTATTTTTAAAAATTAATAGACTTCATGTTTTAGAGCAGTTTTAGGTTTACAGAAAAACTGAGCAGAATACACAGCATTCCCACAGACACCCCCACACACCTCTCATATTTTTCTCTATCATTAACATCAGTGTCCTACATTTGTTACAATTGATAAGCCAATGTTGATACATTACTAACTAAAGTCCAAGCTTAAGTTAAGGTTCACTCTTCATGTTGTACATTCTATGGATTTTGACAAATGTAAAATGATATGTATCCACCATTACAGCATCATATAGAATAGTTTCACTGACCCTATGCTCCACCTATTCATCCCTACATTTTTCATTGGAACTTTTTGCAGAAAACTTTAAGTAACCCCTATCCTATTTTTTCAAGTAGCTGACTTTCTACTAATTAAATGCAGGGCTTTAGATTTATCTCTATTAAATTTTATCTTTCTGGCTATAGTCCATTTTTTTCTAGGCTGCTGAGATTTAATTGAAATCCCAATCTGTCAATCAACATATATGTAACATTTATGAATGTTATGAATGTCTTCTGTATTTTTATCTAAGGATAAAAATGTTAATCAGAAGGATTACAAGAGCAAAGCCATAAGGAATTTTACTAGAGAACTCCTGCTAGAAATTTATTAATGAGCTAATTCTCTTTGGGTATAACTAGATAACAAATCAAAATAACATGTAACCCAAATTTTCTGTCTTGTCAACAAGGACGTATATAATGACCCAATAATAATAAAGATAACTTTCTTTGAGTACTTACTATGTGGCTAGGTATTTCACTAAGTGGTTTATATACATTGTTTCCTTTAATTTTCACAAGAACACTATCAAGTAGGAACTCTTAGCTCCATTATATAAATGAGCAAACAAAGTATCAGGGTGGATAAACAATATACTACAGCTAGTAAGTAGAGGAGCCAAGAGTCAAAGCCAGATCAAACTGACTCCCCTATTCAATTAGGTTAAATAATATAAAATAGCCAATATTTATCTAGTTGAAAATAAAGTATAAAGTATATTCCTGATTCTGCTATTTAGAATTTATGATGGTACTATGATCTTCAGCTTCTCTAATTATTGAGTTGTTTTGTTTATTTTTTCTATAGAAATAAAAATATGGTAACTTCCCAAAATTGAGAATATTTAAAATATGAATTTAAATTGGGATATAATGAAAATGAGGCAGACTGCTGTAAATGGAATTTTGGCCTTCAGAAAGGGCTCTGTTGGTCAAAGGATTATTTGGTGATGGTTCAAAAATTTTTATTCTGGGTATCTGAATCTCAAAAATCAGCCTTACAGGAGTTTTCTTTTGCAGGTGATGAGAATATTATGGAATTAGATAGTGGTGATGGTTGTATAACTTTATGAATATGCTAAAAACTACTAAATTATACATTTCAAAAGGGTGACTTATGAATTATACCTCAATTTTTTAAATGAGGATAATTTTTAAAAATGAACCTCAACAGAGACCCAAATCTACTTTAAAGCAAGATCAAATAAGAACTAGCAGAAGCTAGTCCATAAACAACAGTCTGAGATCCTAGAGATGACTCAGGAGTTTTGGTTATAAATTTCTTGAAGCCTAGCTACAATAGGGAAGGGGGAAAAATGTACAAGTAGCCACACCAATTGACAAGTGATCATAATCTCAAGATAGTTGGAGGTATGGGTATCACTTTGATTCAAAACAATAGAAAAACAGTTTTGAAAATCATAACCTGACAATCAAAAGTGGCCTAGACAATAGCTGGATGCTGGCAAATCTTCCAAACATGTGCCAAACTGTCACTGGACTCCTAAAAGTCCAGTGATTGTATGCTGATTTGCAAAAATCATAATTCATTATTTCATTATTCCATTTTCACTATGATAAAACAACAGCAATGAATGTTACCAAGAAATTGAAATTATGCATCAAAAATTATTCCTAAAGCAACATGCACTGGTAAACAGACAAGGATCTATACTGTTTCTTGACAACATTCAACTACACATGTCATAAACTACCACAGCAAAGTTAAATGAATTAAACTATGAAATTTTTGTACCATATCTGTAACATTCGACAGGTCTTTCTCATATAGACTAGAGCTCTTAAAAAAAAAAAAACCAAAACACTCCCTAATTAAGACATAGTAATTGGTGTCTTTGAATAGCTTGTACAATCTAAAAATATAAATCTTTATAAAAATGAAATATATAATACTTTTCTAGCATTGGGGTATTGATTCTAATAGTACATTTTTTTTTATTTATAATCAGTCTGGCTAAGGGTATATCATTTTTATTCATCTAAAAAGCCAGCTTTTGGTTTCACTGATTTTCCCTACTGTGTTTCTGTTTTCCAGTTAATTGGTTTCTGCTATAATCTTCATGTTTTTCCATTCTTCTACTTTGGTTTCATGTGCTCTTTTTTTCATAGGTTCTGGAGGCTTAGCTGAGAATACCGATTGAGACTTTTCTTGTTTCTAAAATATGCATTTTAGAACTACAAATTTCCCGCTAAACACAGCCTTAGCAGTACCTGATTTTGATACATTGTGTTTTCATTTTTAGTCAGTTTGAAATACTTTATTTTCTTTTTTATTTCTTTTTTGATCCATGGATTACTTAGAAGTATGTAAATTAGTTCCCAAATGTTTGAAGCTTTTCTGGAGATCTTTCTGTCCTTGATTTTTAATTTAAATTCTAATTCAATTGCTTTTCTAGAGATCTTTTTGTTTTTGATTTCTAATACAATTCCTTTGTAGTGTGAGAACATTATTTGTAAGACATGAATTCTTCTAAATTTATTGAGGCTTGTTTTATGGCCTAGAATGATCTACTTTTGTAAATGTTCCATTTACACCGTAAAAGAATGTGTATTCTGCTATTGTTGGATGGAGTGTTCTATAAATGCCAATTAGGTCAAGTTGGATGACAATTTTGTTCAAATCTTCCATATCCATACCAATTTTGTCTACTTTTTATATCAAATATTGAGAGATATTATCATTTTCTTTCTGCCTGAAGGGCCTCTTTTCACATTTCTTATATTGAAGGCCTGATGGTGATGAATTCTTTCAGCCTGTATGTCTGAAAAAGTCTTTTATTTCACCTTCAATTTGAAAGGTATTTTCACTGGATACGGAATTCTAAATTCGGGGTGTTTTTTTTTTCAATACTTTAAAGATGGTGCTGCTCTGTTTTCTTGTCTACTCATCCATTAATGGACACTTAGGTTGTTTCCATACCCTGGCTATTGTTAATAATGCTGTGATGAACAAGGGGGTGCACCTATCTCTTAGAAATAGCACAGTTATACATAAGGTAGGCCACTTAAAGTTGTCCCACAACTCATTAATGCTCCACTCACTTCTTACATTTCTTTTTTTATCTTATCTATTTTACATTTTTGGTAGTTTCTGTTGCTATGATTTCAAGTTCATTGATCTTTTCTTCTGTGTTTATCTGCCACGAGTTTCATCCAGAATATTTTCTACCTCACACTTTGTATCTTAAACTTTAAAAGTTCAATTGTTCTTTTATATATCTTCTATTTCTGTACTTAACTTTTTGAACATATGGAATACAGTAATACTGTTTTCTTAGCCTGTTTACTTTGGTATCTGGGTCAGTCTGGATTAGTTTTGATTGGTCCATTTATCTCCTCATTACAGGTTATATTTTCCCACACCCTTGCATACCTGTTAATTTTTTATTACAGTCAAGACATTGTGATTTTCATCTTGTTGGGTGCTAGATATTTCTGTATTCCTATAAATATTCTTGAGCTTTGTTTGGAATGCAGTAAAGGTACTTGCAAACAGTCTGATTTTTGGAAGTTCTTGGTTTTAAAATGTGTTAAGTAGGACTGAAGCAATGTTCAGTCTAGGACTGAGTATTCCCCACTACTGAGTAAAAGTTCTTCTGTTGACTCTATCCAATTCCCAGTGAATTACACAGATTTCCTAGTCTGGCTGGTGGGAACAGGCACTACTACTGGGCCTGTGTGAGATACTGTCACCTCTAATTTTTTCATATGGTTCTTTTCCTAGCATCAAGCACTTTGCTCACATGCATGCATTAATCAATACTCAACTACATGCTTAAGAAGAATCTTGCATGGATCTCTGAAGTTTCTCTCTGTGCAGTTCTCCCCGCTCTGGTACACTGTCTCATGAATTCTAGAGACCATGGTCCTCCCAAAAATCTCACTTTCATCTCCTCAACTCATGAAATCCACCTGGCTCTGCTTAGGTTCCCTCTCCCTGCATTACAGCCTGAAAACTCTCTCATGCAGTAAGCTGGGGCAATCAAAAGGTTCACCTTATCTATTTCCCATGTCTCAGATATCACTGCCTTCGCTGCCTGATATTCACTTATTTTTTCCATTATCAATATATTTTGTCTATTTCTTGGTTGTTTTAAGTGGGAAAGTAAATCTGGTCCCTGTTCTCCAACTTGACCAAAGTAGAAATCCTTAACTACACATTTTAATTGAGTGAAACTTATGATTTCAAACACATTTCCATTCTGACCTACAAAACAGCAATTTCATATGTTTCAACCTAACATTATGCTGTTTCCAAAGAATGTGAGAGATTTTGATTAAATTTATCCGTCCTACCTAAAAATGAAATGAAGTTCATTTGAGGTGCCATGTTGAACCTATTTAAGACTTGTTTTTATTTTCAAATTGCTCACAAGCCAACACGAATTCCCTACAAAATATTTTGCTGCCTTACTCCCCACTTGATTTGGACCCATATGTACTACAGTCAAAAACTTTATCTCATCTAACATAGTCAAGATATCAATCTAAATACATAACCACCAATCATTCCCTATGTATAAATTCCCTTCTATCTAGTAAAACTCACCATAGAATACCACTTCTCCTCAGAAAGAACTGGGCCACAGTGTCAATTCAGGTAGGCAGAAGGAAATAACATCTAGTACATTAAGCAATCAACTTCTAATTATACAAATGAGACACCTACTTTTCTAGAAATTTCCAAAATGAAAGAATAAATGTACTTCAGAGATTATAATTAGGGATTAGACAATTAGGAAGCAGAAAATCAAGATAAACTTGTCAATCAATCTATAGTCATACCCTTTACCCACTCTATTTTTTTGTTACAATTTACCTGCATATATCCTTACCTCATCCCAGTCAAAGGTGTGAGTATATGACCTCTTTTTGGGTACTCATAATGCAAAAAAATTCAATTTTATTAAAACATGGTAAGCAATTTTATTAAGTAGGTTTAAGTATGTTTCTAATCCATGTCACTACAAGCCAAATTTGAAACATACTATTTAAAAATTAAAAACCCTCATTCTGAATTCATGGCTCAGTGAAAAAAAGAAACAAATGAAAAAAAAAAGCAATGGCAT